CGAATGAGAATCCCCATATGACATTCCTGACAATTTGGGCATTCAGCCTCTGCTTGAAAACCTTGAATAAGGAGACCCCACTATTTTCTAAGGCACTCTGTTCTACTTTTCCAGAGCTCTAGGAATTGGAAGGTTTCTTCCTCAACATGGAGTCTAAATCTGCCTCTGTGACTCTCACCTACTGTTCTCACTTCTGCTCTCTGGGCCGAAGCAGAACAAGATTAATGTAGCCCTCTTGTACAGGACAGCCCTTGAAATTCCCGAAGTCTTCTCCAGGCTGAGATCCCCATTTACTTCTCCTGATCCTCATGTGGTATGACCTGGAGGCCCTCCATCATCCCAGTCACTTTCCCTGGGATGCTCTGTCTTCACATGACTTTTCTCAGTGTTCTCTCTACCTGGAATGCCTTCCCGCATGCCTTCTTTTTATCCATATCCTCCCTTTAACACTCGGCTCATCTTTCCTTACCTATGAAGCACTCCCAAATAACTCTGGTCCCCAATAGTGACCTCTCCTCCTCTGCAATCATAGAACTTACTGTCTGTCCACATTACTTCTCTGATGATAAACTAAAATGTTTTTTTGGGCAGGACCCCTGATTTCTTTGTTGTAAAGAACGTCCATTGAAGAACTGTCCCAGGGCAGATCAGACATTCTTCATAATTTAGTCTTAGAGTTTCCTGGGGACAAAGAGAGGTCAAGTGACTGCCCAGGGTCACACAGCCAGTCGGTAGCAGAGGCAGGTCTTCTTGACTCTTTATCCTATATGTAATAATGATAACTTCTCAAACTGTATACGTATGATTTGTAATATCTCTTCTTTTGTTCATCTGTATGACGTTTTTGCTTTTGTATTATTAACTTGTCATGTATTCTTTCTTTTTCCAAATCAGCTGTGAAACTCTTCAAGTCAAGCTTTTGTACCTCCCTCAATGCCTAAATCAGTGTCTTGTATGTGGTGTCTAATTTAGCAATTATTTGGTAATGGACAATCTTTTTTTTTTTTTTTCCTCCATAGGATGGGAAAAAGGAACCAAGTTCGTGTACCTGTTTAAAGGGGCCCAAGCTATCAGAAATAGGCACCATTGCCTGGATGATCACCATCAGTGATGCCCTCCACAACTTTATTGATGGTTTGGCCATTGGTGCTTCTTGTACCCTATCTCTTCTTCAGGGACTTAGCACTTCCATAGCAATCCTATGTGAGGAGTTTCCTCATGAGTTAGGTAAGAGACTTCTTCCACTCGGGGCAAGAATCAAATGTTTGTTCTGGTGTGACTTTAATCAGATGCGCCTTTGAAATGCCAAGGACTTGAAATCTTGTCTGCTATATTCAAATGAAAGAAAAGCTGTGAGGTTCTGATAATCATTTCTTCTTGAAGTAACATTCTTCTACAGTATAATTAATTTTGCATTTTCCCTTTCTCTTTTTCCAGGGGACTTTGTGATCCTACTCAATGCAGGAATGAGTACTCGGCAAGCTTTATTTTTCAACTTTCTTTCGGCGTGCTCCTGCTATGTTGGACTGGCCTTTGGCATTTTGGTGGGCAACAACTTTGCCCCAAATATTATTTTTGCACTAGCTGGTGGCATGTTCCTCTATATTTCTCTGGCAGACATGGTAAGAAGGTTTTTTGCTCTCATTTGAATTTTCAATTGAAATCTAGGAATGACTAGAGGTCGGTGCTCTTCACTTCCTTATTTCTTACTGTTCTGCCTCCCAAGGGTAAAGAAAGGCTGGTTCTCCAGGGAAATTCGTGTCAGAAGTTTAAGAATAAGAATAACAGCCACAAACCCAAGCCTTAGAACAGGCAGCCCACCAGTGGTGTAAAACTCTCCTAGCTGAGAGCTTTTAGGTATCTTCTTGGAATGGTCTTGGGGATAGTAGGCAGAAAACATGTGGAGGCAGTGTGTTATAATGGAGAGATGGCTGGCATTAAAACCCGTCTCAGGTAATCTTAAGGTCATTGATAGTCTAGGCAAGTGGTGTCAAATTCAAACCCACATATTGATTCAGAAAACCACAAATGAACATGCTGTATTGTATTTTTATTTATTTTGTCAAATGTTTCCTGGTTTAGCAGCACTTAGGAGTTTTGCTGACTACGAGTTTGATACCTCTGCACTAGAGAGTATCAGACCTTACCTATGAACTCTGATCTACTTTTTTTGGTCTGAATTGGAGAGATTGTCCCCCAAGCCCTTCTTGTTGATTTTGTGTTGGAATGGTTATAGCCAAAGAGTGGGTTTTTATTTGTGTCTTGCTTTTGTGGTGATGCACAGTTTGATGAATATCCTGAATGGTATATTCCTCTATTTGTGCAGCAAAAATCATAACTAGTCCCATACTTGGACTAAATAACGAAAGTTGGTTAAATGGAATAACATACTAGGCGTTTCCTGAAAACTTCAAGTTGTGTCCGTTTGAGTGTATGTGTGTGATTACAGAAGGGCAGCTAGATGGCTCAGTGGATAGAGTACTAGGCCTGGAGTCAAGAAGACCTGAGTTCAAATCTGGCCTCAAACACTTACTAGTTGTGTGACTCTGGGCAAGTCACTTAACCTCTGTTTGCCTTAATCCACTGGAAAAGAAAATGGCAAACCACTCCAGTATCTTTGCCAAGAAAACTCTCATGGACAAGTAGGGTCCGCAGGTTTGTGAAGAGTTGGACGTAAAGCAGTTAGAGCCGGAAGAAATCTTAGTGGTCAGTTAGTCCAGCTTCATCAGCTTTATGGATGAGGAAACTGAGGCCCAAAGGGATTTAACTGAATTTTTTAAGATCACATAGGAAATAGTAGCAGAGCTGAAGTTCTCTAAGTTCTGTGCTAGACCCACTCCACGATGTCTTCTGATGTCCCCATCATGGCGTGGAGTCGTGCCATGCCGACGGAGTGTAAAATTTGGCAAGTGACCCTCAGAAAGGGTTCAGATCCTGCTATGGTTTGTTCGTCTAAAGACCTAGCTGAAGCCAGGGAGGCTTAGCCCCGGGGTTGTTGTTATTATTACCACCACCACCACCACCACCACCACCACCACCACCACCACCATCATGACATCTGAAGACCATTTTCTGAGGTGGTGTGATCTGTGTTGGAAGAGATTGTTCAAAATCGCAGATCCTTGAAGCGAACACCTATATCCTGTCACCAGGAGATCAATGAAAACTAACTGCAGTGGTTAAAATCTGTCTTCTCATAAGAGCTTGGAGAATCTATGCAACAGTATCTCCAAATGACTACAAATCGTGTGTGTCATCTCCACACACTGACACATAGACATACTCACTTCAGTAAATCTTATGTGTTTGATAGGAGTGGAAGTGAACCTGAGTTTTCAAAGGAATGCTGGGAAGCATGTGGGCTGCTGAGTCTATTAGACTATGAGCATCTTGAGAGCAGGGACTTTCTTTTTTTTAAATCTTTCTTTGCATCCCCAGCACTTAGCAGAGTGCCTGGCACATATTAGGTGCTTAGTAAGTGGCTCTTGAGTGTGTGGAGGTGATACTAGGTTCTGGAAGCCATGCCAGCAGAGCATAAACTGGTCATTTCTTCTAAGCTGGAAAGGGTTCAAGCTTCAATGGGATGTATTTTTCTGACTCAAGAACCAGCCGAGGATAATCCTAAGTACTGAGGCTGCTCCACTGTAGGAATACCTGCAATGACAATGTCATAAGTGAAGATGATGGGAATAGCGTAGAGAACTGGAATTTGGCGAAGATGCGGAATGTCCACCTCTGCTCAGGGGCAGGGCATGAACATGGATCTTCTCAGCTCTGAGTTAGCTCTATCCACAATGCCATGCTAGCTCTCACACTAATAATACAACCTTGTATGATGCTTTTAACCTTACATGATGTTTTTTGCCATTATTTGTTACCTCATTTGTTTTCACCATAACCGTATGAAGGTACCTGTGTTTATTGTGATTGCTTGAAGATTCTCTCAATCTTTGTACTGGTGGGTATTTACAAAGGGATTACAGCATTTAGCCCACCATTTTGGGGGAGCTGTCTGAGTAGAAGCATTTTCAGGTATTGCCACAGAAATTGGACTGGAACCGCTGCACCGAGTTTTAATTGATTCCCTTGTAATGAGGTGTTATATGTTTCCACCTTGGCAAAACGGTGAATAGAACCAAAAACATTCTGTTCTAATGGAATAGAGGAAAGGGAAATAGAGAGCTAATGTGTAAGGAAGGGTAGAAAGGAAGACAAAAGGTATAGAGAGATCTCAGGATTTTTATCATGAGCCTTCTGATGGTTGACTAATATTATTCCATTAAAGATGATTTCAGTTTTTCCACTCTTGGTGATAAGGCAGATTTTCTTCTGCAATTTCATTTGTTCTGATGCATTTCAGCAGCTCAGCTAGACCATTGAACCAATGATTCATCATTTGATATAATGGGAAAAGACTCTAAATTTGTAATTAGAAGATACAGGCTCATGACCTGGCTCTGTTCCATGTGTGCTTTTGAGCAAATCCTGGGCCTCACTTTCCTCATGTGTAAGATGAGATGATTTTAGTAGAAAACATCTAACGTGCCTTTCAGTCATAATTCTCTGATTCTATGAATTTCAGACTAAAGTCTTGTTTCACCACAAGGTGGCAACAGTTCTCTAAAAATGTACCTTTCTTTTTCCCTAGTTCCCGGAGATGAATGATATGCTAAGAGAAGAAATAACTGGAAGAAAAACAGATTTAACCTTCTTCATTATTCAGAATGCTGGTCTGTTAACAGGATTCACAGCTATACTTCTCATTACCCTGTTTGCAGGAGATATTGAGTTGGAGTAATCTGACTTTGAAGATGGCATAGTTAATGAAGACAATTAACCAATAAAAAAAATGAAGAATTTTTTTAGTTTGTACGGGGGCTTTCAGTTGGTCTGCTGAGTTAAAAGATAACCTTGTTTTCTTTTGCAAGTCACAGAAAACCAGTTAGTTATTGGTTTCAGGCCTGCAAAAGGGCTCATCAACCACATGTTACAAAAATAAAACCAGAAAAATTTGGAATTCAAAATCTTGTAAAAATGAATGCTGAAAATTGTCTTGACATGTAATTGGGGAAAAAATAAAATACTATTTAAAAAATAAATCCAAAAGCTGGATTTTCTTTTCCCATTAAATGCAGCTCACAAGTTCCTTGGTAAACAGCGTTGCATGTTATATGTAACGGAGGCAGCTGAGGCCCATGCATTCCATGACTGGCAAATAATTCATGAAGATGAAGAAAAATTATTACAAGTTTTCCAGGCCTTAACAATGCTGGGATGGGAGCAAAGGCTGAAGTGGTTTCAGGGCAGGTTAATTCTCATTAATTTGTGGAAGTGATTTCATGGGCAAGCCCATCAAAACATGGAAGAGAATCAAAACCATTTCAGCACACATATGAGAGATGCTGAGATCTCTTTTCATGTGGTTCAAGGACTTGTAGATTTATTCTGAAAGCCCCTTTAAAAATAGAAAAAAGCTTATGAAAAATCTGAACATTATAAACATTCCAAAAAAGTTTAATTAGCCATGGGTACTCTGAATTTTATGGATATTTTACCCCCAAAGGGTCAATTTCTCCTAGATTTGGCCTTGTTAGGCCAGAAGATTTTATTCTAAAGCTAGAATTGCCTTTATGGCATTCACAAATTTTATTCTGGCTTATATTGTTACTGAATGGCAGATCAACATTCAAGGAGATGGAAAATGCTCAGTATCAATGTATGATAAATATTTGTTTTCTAGAGGGATTGTTTGTTCATGAAAAGAAACAGTAAAATTTCAAACAATTTGAAAAAAGGCAAATGTTGGTTCAGTGAGGTTTTTATAAATGCATGAAAAACAGCTAGACTATTGTTAATAAAGAGTTAATGGAGGGATGTGGTCACAGTTTCCTTAGGGGAAACTACCTGATCTTTGGGAAATTACCTATTTTGTTATTAATTGATCTTTTTTTCCTTTATAGTTTAAGTACCTCAATACAAAATAACTCAGGTTATTTTTCTACATTGTGATAAATATACAGCAGAGACCAGTCTGTTTATTCAGTTAGGAAATTAATGCTATTGGTGAATTGACCTAAATGATTTTACCTCTGTATTTTGTATACGTGTGTAGGATAATCCACACTCCCGTGTCACCTTTAAAAAAAAAAAGAAAGATTGTTTCAAAATGTGAAAATGACTGTTAGTTCTTGAAATTGGTGATCTTTCCAATTTTGTATTGTGTTTTTATGCAGAAATAAAATGCACTTGATGAACATTATGTTTTATATGTTACATCACTTAGATGACAATTATTCAAAGTTTCCAGTCAACCAAATAGTAACCTTGGTATCTGTAGCTTCCTTTCAGAAAAAAAAAATAAACTTTGATATATAATATGCTAAAATTCTTGTGAGAACAATCAATGATGACTACAAATTTAAGCTTACACTACGAATTTATGCTTCATAATCTCAATTGGGCCCTCACTGCAACAAGGCAATCCTTTTATATCTCCATGATTGACTCACTATCCCACTCACAGCTGCTTTCCCAAATCTTTTTATCCCTTCTTAGACCTCCTACAGCACCCCCACAATCTCTGCTGGGAATATTGCTTCATATTTTGCTGAAAAAAAAGAGGCTGTTTGCTGGGAGTTCTCTCTTCTGTGTCATCATATCACTCAGATGCCTTCACCATTATCTCCACCTTAGTCTTACCTGAAATACTTATCCTTCTTACTAGGGCAAACGTCTAAATGCATGCTTGATCCCATTCCAACCTTTTTTTTTTTTTTTAAACAGTAAATTATTCCTTATATCATCCCCATTCTTTGACTAATCTTCAGTCTACTAGCTGTTTTCCTGCTACCTACAAACATACTAATGTCTTTTTCATCTTTAAAAAAAAAACCTTACTTTTTCATCACTCCATCCTTACTACTCTCTTCCTTTTTGTGGGTAAACTCCTCGATGAGGTCATGTACAATCAATCCCTCTGCTTCTTTTCTTTTCACTCTTAACTGTTAAGTCTGACTTTGGTCCTTATTTAACTGAAACTGCTTTCTCCAAAGCTACCAATAACATCTTAATTGCCAGATCCAGTGACTTTTTCTGAGTCTCTGTCTTTCTTGATCTCTGTAGCCTTTGACACCGTTAATCACTCTCTTTTGTGACATCACATTCTCCTGGTTCTACCCTTCTGATTTTCCTTTTTGGACTCTTTGGCTGAATCTTTACGAGGACACGAAATGTGGGTGTCTCCCAAGACCTGTCTTATTTCCTGTTCTTCCTCTGTACTATTTTACTTGGTGATTTCATCAGCTTCCATGGATTCAATTGTCTCAATGCAGATGATTCTCATATTAATTATTCTGCCCGAACTTCTCTGTGACTGCCAGGCTCACATCTCCAACTGACTTTTGGACACCTTAAACTTGATATCCCATAAACATTACTTAACATGTCCAAAACAACTCATTTCTCCCTTTTCCTGACTTCCCTATCATTGTCAAGGGCACTACCAGCCTCTCGGTCACTTGGGCTGGAAACCTAGGCATCATCTTCTACTCCTTACTCTCAGCCCCTGTATCCAATTACTTGTCAAGTCTACCTTCACAACATCTTTTTGGATACATATCCTTCCCTCCTCTCACACTGTCAGCACCTGGTACAGGCACTCATCACCTCTTGCCTGGATTATTGAAATAAACAGTCTTCTGCTTGATTTCCCTGTCTCAAGTGTCTTCCTACTTCCACTCATTTGCCAGAGCTAGCTTCCTAAATTTCAGTTCTGACCACGTACCTCTCCTATTCAATCAACTCCAGTGTCTTTTTATTGCCTCCAGGATCAAATGTAGAATCTTCTGATTTTAAAGCCCTTCACAGCCTGACACCCTCCCACCTTTATAGTTTTCTTAAATCTTAACTTTTCTCCATGTACTCTATGATTCAGTGACACTAGCCCCCTTGTTCCTCCCACATGACATTCCAAGTCTCAAACAGCATTTTCATAGGACCATTCGCCTCTGCCTGGAATTTTCTCCCTTCCCATCTCTGCCTCAGGCCTTCCTACCATAATTTCCATCCCTCCCCAGCTAAAATCCTACTTTCTGTAAGAAGCCATTTCTCACGCTTCCATTGTTATTTCCAAAGTGGAACTTACAACATCATAATTGAGTAAACTCAATTATTCAGGACCTCTTAGCTTAGGCTTTGGTTTACATGGGTCCATTTCTTCTTTACTTTATCTCCTTACCACCCCAGTGTTAGCTCCTGACCTAGAAGAGGTGGACTAAAGGGAAATGGACACGGAGAACCAGACACTTTGCTCAGAAGCCATGATAAAAGACAGTGAGGTAGCAGGCTAGCATTTGATATCATTGTCAAATTTCAGTTGTTCAGGTTATTGCCACGGTTCTTAATTTAATCAGCACAGTATTATCACTGGGGCCACTCTTTCAGTGGAGTGGGTTGCAACTCCATCACTTAGCAGATGGCCTTTGAGAGTTGATGGGGCTGAATATATTGAGCTGGAAGTCATCTGCACAGAGGTGGTAATTGAATTCATGGGAGCTGATGAGACCATTATGTACATAAGAGTATGTAGAGATAAGAGACCCCATAAAGTAGGAGTATATAAAGAGGACCCAGCACAAAACTGGGCACACACTCAAAGTTAGGGTGAGCAATGGATGATAATCAAGCAAAGGATAATGTGAAAAAGAGAGGCTAGACAGATAGGAGGAGAACTATGTGAGAGCAGTATAATGAAAACCCAGAGAGGAAAGGGTCTAGGAGAAAGGTAGTCCAAAGTGTCAAATACTGTAAAGAAGTCAAGAAGTATGAGAACTGACAAAAAGCCATTCAATTGACAATTGAGGTCACCGGTAACTTTGAAGAGAGCAATTTCCTTTGAGTGATAGGGTCAGAAGCCAGATTGCAGAAGGTTTAAAAGGTGAATAAGAGGAGAGGAAATGAAAGCAATGAGTGTAGATGGCTTTTTTTTCCATGTTTGGCTAAGAAGTGGGGGGAAATGTAGCACAATAGCTCCAGGATTGGTAAGATAGAGGGTTTTTTTCCCCCTTTTAATGGAGACTTGAATACTTTAAACTCCATTTAGGTAGGGGCTATGTGTTACCTAAAATTTTCATCTCTCTCCAGCATTTATTTCTCTGCGTATATCATCAACCTCAAATTTCAAGTGATCTTTTATCTCAGCAACGTAGATCTTGTCTCCAGTGATGTAGATTTAATTAGATGATCTCCATGAATTTCTAAGACACTCCTCCTCCCTTCTTGCCAACTCACCTGGTAGCTAACCTTCTGTCAATGAACCTTTCCAAATGTAGCTTGGCTAGCTCACAGAGTTGATGACTGCACTCATGTGCAAAGCCCTTCCAAATTGTTAACACCTATGAAAGTTTATGTTTCATGGGCTTAGCCTTTGGGAGCCCAGAGTCACCTCTGCAGCCCAATAAATACATGAGTAGGACTGGGTTAGACTTTAAGAATCTGTACACAATAGGATTAATGTTTATTGACTTGAATTCTATGCAGTCAGTAATTCCTATTGCCATTTTCCCACAGCCTTTCTTTTTTATGTGGGTTGTGTAATCTCTGGGAACACCATGTCCCCAGCTGGTTGCTATGATAAGGTTTTTGCTGTTAGGCATCCTACAGTCAGGTATATTCCTGTGTGGTTTTCTGTAATTCCACAGCTTGTACTAGATAGAGCATGCTCTAACCTTTATTGCTCAAAGCTAGCCCTTTTCTTAAAACTTGCTTCTAGGAATTAGAAACTACTGAAAGTCTTTCACATGATGGCATGAACAAAGGTCACATTAGCAGTATACCACTTTAGTGCTTTTAAAAGAAAGGGGTGTCCTTTTGTGCAGCAAAGCTAGGTTGGTGGGCAGAGAGCAAAGGAAGTGTGCCAAGGAGTGAAGGCAGGGCAAAGGGTCATTTCCAATAGAAAGATGGCTTCATAGGTAGATGCTATGACAGATGTGGATGAGGAGGTTGAGAGTTTCAAGGGGTGTATAAGAATGGGCTATGGAAAAATTTTGCAAGCGTCTTTGTTCAAGAGAGATGATTCTGTAAGTGTATAAGCAAGTACTCACTTTTTTGCACGGAACTTCTCACAGGCTTGTAATGAAGACATAGATTTTAAACTGGGGAAGAGTGCATGCATTTCCAAAAATCCTTACTGATCAAACGGTTTTCTTTATGTGAAAGATGTCCTGGTGTGCACATATCTGTAGGTTATTCTCATTCATAATATAGACTATAAATTATTGTTCCATATGTCTGAATGGCATGACTAGGGAATTAAGCTAGTGCCATATACATATTGCTAGGATAATGCATCTGTGTGCACGAAACGTACATTTGTGTCCTAAGTAGTCAATGTTTTTTCTTTTAGTATTTTTACTTATGTCAACACACACATTTCATATATAATTAATAGCTGCTTGTTAATAAGCTGGGAAGCATTCATTTAAATAAATCTTAGTACCTAAAGGAGAAGAAATAAATTATAGCTTTCATAACATGATTTTTTCTTGGCATAAGCATTATTATAAAACATAATTTTATTATGTTTTGATATAAGAAGGTCAACAGGGGATGGGAAGACACCAGATCTGTGATTTCCTTGAAGCAAGAACCTGTGGGTAAGGAAATTCCTTCTACCAATGCAAACTGTGACCTGATAACGCAACTTATAGTTTTAGAGAGTTGTTTCAGGGCGCTGGGGGGTGGGGGAGAAGGAGAGAATAAACATTTATTAAGTGCTTACAATATGGCAGGCACTGTGCTGAGTATGTTACGTGTATTATTTCATTTGATCCTTGCTACAACCCTGGGAGGTAGGTGGTATTATTATCTGCACTTTATTTACATGGTAAAAACAGGCAGATGCAGGTTAAGTGACTTGCCCAGGGTTACACATCTCATAAGTGTCTGAGGCTACATTTGAACTCAGGTCTTCCTGACTCCAGGCCTGGCACTCTTATCTGCTGCACCACCTAGCTGCCTATACTATCTTATCTAACTTCCTTTAAAATAGTGAGAGGATATTAAGCGTTTTGGTCAGGGTAAGCAAGCTAGTTTCTGGGATCACAGGATCATAGTTTTAGAGATGGAAGGGATGTCCCCTTGGAGGCTTGGAAACTCAGTTCCAAAGAGGTTAACTTGCCCCAAAGTTACTCTTTGGGCAAAGAAACTTGCCCTGAGTCACACAGGGAGTAACCACTGTGTTGGAAGTAATACTTGA